ATAAACTATTTATAATGGATATCTTTGGGGCATGAAGGGAAGAGGCTTAGGCTCTTATACTAAAAGCTTCTTGCGGGCCGGCCCGGTGGCGCACTGCTACAGTGCGCTGCTTGGGAGCGCGGCGGCGCTCCCGCCGAGGGTTCGGATCCCACATACAGACCGGTTCCCGCTCACTGGCTGAGCGAGGTGTGGATGCGGCACTGAGGGTTGCGATCCCGTTGCCGGTCCCGGTCCGGTACGGGCGCGACACTGAGGGTTGCGATCCGTTGCCGGACAAAAAAAAAAAAAAAAAAAAAAAAAAAAAAAAAAAGCTTCTTGCATTGTTTAAATTTTTTTCCCCCAAGCAATACATACTATCTTTGTTTTGGATCTGAACCCTTCACCTTGGTGTGAAAACAGCATTCTAACCAACTGAGCTATATCTTTGTCTTAAAAAAACATTAAACTTTTGTTAAACTATATAGATGTTAGTATAGGCGTAATATTATTTCCTAGATGTACACGAATTGTTGGCAGCTGCTAACTTTCGGGAGATGGATCCAAAAACAGGCTTGTTTTCATTTTTTTTTTTTTTTTTTTTTTTTTTTTTTTGTTAAAGATGACCGGGAAGGGGATCCCAACCCTTAACTTGGTGTTGTCAGCACCACACTCTCCCAAGTGAGCTAACCAGCCATCCCTATATAGGGATCTGAACCGTGGTGTTGGTGTCATCAGTACCACACTCTCCCAAGTGAGCCACAGGCTGGCCCTAAGCTTGTTTTCATTTTGAAACTCTCTGAACTTGCTGAATTTTCTAATACGTATCTACAGGAATTATCTGAGAAAGGAGATTATGGGCCATTTTTGTTTTCTTTATACCTTTCCATATTTAAGAAATTCTCATAAATATTAACAAATAACCTTGATGACTCCCTGGGGCTGTCCTTTAGGACACAGCCCTAACTTCCCAGCCCACTTCTGACTGTCAGCAGCCACCTGCCAACGCTGGCCCATCACACTGTCCTTGGCACATCTAATTTCCTCTGTTTGCAATACCCTTGCCTTGGTCCCACTTTATGTTCAACTCCTATTCATCCTTTGTGCCCCATCTCCCTTCTTTGGCTGCTTCTCCACCTCTGCCAGCTGTAAGATAACACAGGAAGGTGAGGTCTACAGCAAACTGAAGAGTACCTGCACCTTCTGAAGCGCAACTGAGCCCACCTCAAACCAACTGGTGCCATTTGGGAGTAGAGATCCAGAGTTATATATTCTGTTTTTTTCAAATAAAACCAGAAATCTTGAATTTAATGCATTTTTCATCCATTCAGGAAGTATTTATTGAGCACTCACTATATGCCAGCAGGCACTGTTCTGGATCTGGGGGTTTAGCATTCAATGAAACATACAAAAATGCCTGCTGCCTGGAGCTTATATTCTAGATGGTGAGAGGAGGGAGAACCAGAGGAAAGGCAAGACAGACAAGTGAAACATATACATGTTAGAGTGATAAGTGCCAAGAAGAAAATAAAACAAGAGAAGGGGACAGAAAGTAGGGAGGGAGGTCGCCCTAGACTTGAGTTGAAGGTAGAGGTTTGGGCTGGAATCAAGTTTATAATGTGAATTTTCCAAAATTTTAAATACTATAAGGACCTAGCAGGCTACATTCAGTGTATGGACCAGCAGTTTGCCAGCCCTGGTTATGAAAACCAGGACTGTCATTGGAAGAGGAAAAAAGCCTAGGAATATAATACTTTATATTTTCATAAGGATTTACAATTACAGAGTTGTCACAGCTGTCATCCCTCTTACAGAAAGGGAAACTGCCACATAGCTGGTAAGTGGCAGAACCAGATTCAAACTCCTCAACATCCTCGAAACCAAGGGAGAGAGTAGGGAAAACATGAAAGTGAGAAACACTATCAAATGCTACAGGAGGTCAAAGACCATGAGGACTTAAGTGGATCAAGGTCACTGAGGAAGAATTTCAACAGCTGATAGGAGGCTGTAAAGGTAAGAATTAGGCAGAACGTGGGCAGAAGTTCAAAAGATACAAACCACCTGGCTTAAAAAAGGAGATTTCAATTTTCCCAGCAGCACTGCTTGGTGAATTGAACGTCTCTGAAGGCAGGAGAGAAAGATGAAGTGGAGATATCGCTCCAGCCCTCATCACCACTAGCCTGAACAACTTCAACAGTTCCTAACCAGCTCCCTGCCTCCTCCCTCATATCCTTTCTTCAGTAAGCCAGATGGATCTCTAAAGCGTAAATCCCACAATGTCACATCTCTGTTTAAAACCCTACAATGGCTCTGTATTTGCCTATAGAATAAATCCCAAGCTCCTGAGCACATCAGAAGCCCTTCACAGGCTGGCCCCCACCCTTCCTGTCCAGCATCATCTCCCACCTTTCTCCAATCACCCAAGTATCTAGGGAATGAAGAAAGGTGCTGGAGAAGAGGGACAGGAAGGCCCACAGGAACCAGTTAGTGACCCAGGTACCCCAGACAGCCAGCATTTCCTGACACTTTTTGGGCCCACATTGTTCCCGCTGCCTGAAATGTCCTTTCCTCATTTTTGTCCATTAGGAGAACCTCGGATGTCACCTCATGTTAGTGGCTCACTCCTCCCACCCTCAGGTATGTCAAACATCCCTGTTGCAGTCCTCTGATCACTGCCCTGTAATGAATGATTTTTTAGTCTGTCAACCATGGCCTTGCTCTCCTTTGCGCCTCCAGCCCCTAGCACAGTATTGCACTCAAGCACTGTGAGGATGCAGGAAAGGAAGTATGTGAAAGCTCTATCATTAGAGAGGCAAGATATATAATGGTTTTCTCTGTCTGGGCTTCTCATCCTGCAGAGCTCCTCAAGGAAAGGGCTTTGCCGCCTCCATCGCTCCATCCCTGGCATCTAATGCTGGGCTAGGACAGAGCAGGTGCTCACAGAGGGCAACAGTGCAAAGAACACTGGCTTTGAAGTCAGACTGATCTGGAATTGCCCCACAGCTCTGCTGCTTACCAGCTACATCAAGTTATTGACCTTTCTAAGTCCCATTTTTCCAGTACCTACACATACTACACATACACATAGTAGGTGCTCAAATATTTGTACATCAACATGAAAATATTTAACTGGTATGTAACGATAATTCTACCTACTCCAGGAGGCTCTTAGGAGGATTATGTGACAGTCTATAGGTCAAACACTGAGAATCACAGTTGATCAAGGCCTATCACATCAAAAATGCTCAAATTTTCTCTATTTTTCCCTCCCTAAATTGAATGTAGAAATTTAGATATGTCATAGTAAAGTCGAAATACAGAATATATGAAGGTGCTCATAGTACACAGTTAACCTCCACAATAAAGAGTAAGATCATTAGCTAACACTAGAATTTGAGAAAACCTCTCAAACGATTGTTCTGGATATAACGAGGGAACAATGTGAGGTCGGCCAACAGGAAAATCTATGTGGGATTCTCTAGTGATTCTAAAATGCCCAGTCTAACATCTTCCCTCAATATTCTGTGACCTGGCACAGAGAGCTCTGTGTTGAAGGCTGGGGGCAGGGGGCCACAAAGCCAAGTGTATACCCCTCAAGGTTTACAGAGCAGACACAAGAGAGCAGATGGTGGATAGGAGAGTGATGAGGGGACCTTAGAAGGACCTGGGGGAAGAACATACCATTTTTGTAAGTACCTCTCAGCTGTGCTAACTGATAGGACTTAGGACTTGGACAAACAAGTCTGCACATGACAACAAAGCAAGGGAGGAAGAGGTGCCGACTGAGGAGAAAGGTAAGAGAGGCATTTTGTAATTCAGAAAGATGAGTAAAGTAGTGTAGCTTGTTTTCAAACTGACACACCCACACTCTCAGGAAGAGACCTTAGCTGTGCTAGAGATGGACAATTAGGATTGAAAATACCAATATCCTCACTCAACGTGAGTGGTATCTCTACAATGCAAACCTGCCTTTCCTCTGTACTGAACCGTCTATAAACTCTCCAATGGCTTAGAATACAATCCAAATTCTTTTAGAATAAAACCCGTTGTCCTTAGAATAAAATCCAGATTCCCTTGGCTATTAAAATCTTGCTGCAGTCTGCCCTCTAGCTAGCTCTCCAGTATGCATTCTGGGCTCTCTGCTCCACTATACTACATGTGGAGTAGTCACGTGACTACCTCTCCAGCCCTCCCAAACTGTGGGAAGCTGGCTCATCACTCCAAGGTCCAACAGAGTGCTTCTTACACAATAGCCCTCCAAATACTTAGCGAAACCATTATACTGGGTTTCTGGTAAAACAAGGCCCCTTTCGCCTCAATGAGACAAAGGTGGGTCTGTCCTAGGATTAGACCCCCAGACTAGAGGACACACCCTTAAATCTTAATTATATGTCTGCAGGACAGCCTAAGCCAGTTTGCAGCATACCTGAAAGATTAAACAAAATAAATTTCATGCCCCATCTGATACCAGGTTTCACTATGTGATTGTCAGGAAAGCTAAATTTAATCAACTGATATTATTTTACGCTATTCCCAAGTCCACTGAAATTGTATCAAGAAGGATGAATGAAAAGATTGTATACGCAGAGCCCATATCTACCTGATTTGCGTTTGAGTCATATTCAGTATTCTTACACCAAAGACAGCTTTTCAACTCACCATTATTTGTGAATTAAAAAAAAAAAATCCAAAAGAATTGACTGTGAGGTCCACAGTGAAAAAACCTGGGGCATTTAGCCTAAAGGTTCCCCAGGATAAACAGCTAAATACAGCCTCATTTCTCAGCTCCACATAAGAAACCACTTGGGAAAGTCTTAAAAAACAAACCCACTTTCTTTAGGGCCTGTTATTATCACTTTTGTAAAATAACTCTAGGGGCAGCCCATCTCACCCCAAATAAGACTCCTTCTCCACTCCTCCACGTGGAATTCCTCCTCACTTTTTAAGGCCCAGAGCCCCAAAACTTAGCATGCAAACTCTAAGAGGGCAGTGACCTTTGTTTTGTTATTGGAGAATCCCTAGTACCTGGAACACAGCCTGGCACAAACTAGGCCCTCAATAAATATTTGTTCAAAGTCTAATTGAATGAGTAGACAAAATGTACCTTCTCTGTGAAGCACTCTTCAGTCTGCCTCAAGTATTCATGAAACCCTCTTACATGTTTCCACTGGGGAACTAAGCGTTTAACTCCAAAAATAGGACAAACCTGCACCACCAAGCAAAACTCCAGCATGCCAGAATCCATGCCTCTGGTTAAAAGCCACATTAAGAGCCAAATTCCTTGGTTCCGTGATTCAGAGTGGTTCAAAGTACAAGAGCACAATTCCTTAAACTGACAACTAAAATAAATACATCTGTGTCTCTTGAGTATACAATCCACCTTCTACTGCAGTGATTCTCCAACTTCGCTGCATATTAACAATTACCATATGGGAAGCATTTAAAAACCTGGAAGCCCACAACAAACCAAAATCAATTAAATCAGTTTATCTGGGGTGGGAGGCAGGCACAAGTATTTCAAAGCTTTCCAAGTAGTTCCAAAACGCTGCTAAGTTTGAAAACTACCTCTCTACTGAACTTGAGGCCACCCCTGGTGGACTGCTTGGTCTTCTGAGTTTGGGTGGAGTGGATTTCTGGGAAGACTCCAGAGAGCTTCAAGGACTTGATCTTTCTTAATCTTCTTCTACCAAAATTCCCATCCCCAACCTTTCATGACACATGGAAGGGGCTTCACCGATTGCAAGGCGTTGAAGCCACCTACCTTAAGGCTGCAGGCTTCCTCCTTTAGAGAAGCCATTTCTTCTAGAGAGGGGTTGGCAGGGCGAAGAGGGGATCCCCCCAACAAAAGGAACTCGCGAGTGCTCCGAATCAGGCAGCCTTTGGAGGGGTCCCCGTCCACACCTGAGCCCGAGGAATGAGAGGAGGAATTTCTGCGGCTGGATGAGCCCCAGGATAACCTTGGCGTGTGGGCCACATGGTGGTCCTCCTGGGCTTTCAGGCGCTTGGGGCTGCTAGCTCCTCCAGAACGCGACGCAGAGCTAGGAGCTGGCCGGCTGGAGGGGGCCACATCACTGGGCTCCCGGAGGCAGCTGCGCTTGCTGGGACCCCCTTCCGAAGTGCTGCTCCAGTGGTACTTGACCTTGCGCCGCTCCGACGCCATGGGCACCTGCAAGGCAAAGCGGGCCTCTATTCCAACAGCACCCTTCCTGGCTGCCCCACTTCAGACTCCCGCCACTCCGCGGCCCCGGGGAAGGGCAAGCCAGAAGGTCAGAGCCAGGGGCTGGTCTCACTGACCTTTCCCTCTGCCTTCCACTGCCCATCACAGTTCTCAAGGTTTCAGAGATGCCAAAGTGCCTCGACTCCGTTTGCAATTCCAGAGCGCTTCGGGTAAGTCAAAACGATCCGAGATCTACTAACAGCTTCGGTTTGGTTTCCAAGCCCACAACGTGCTTCCGAGGTCACCAAGCGCTTCGGTTTGCACTACGCGACTTCGGAAACGCCAATGCGCTTCCGGGACTACAAAGCACTTCGATTTCGTTTGCAATAATACAAAGCGCCTCAGGGCTGTCAAAGCGCTTCGAAAGACCACCAGGCGCTGGAAGGTCCACGCATGGCGGCCGTACCCACAACCCCAACGCCGGGAGCGCGGTCGAGAGGCCCTGGCCGCCGAGGGCGGGCCAGAAGGCAGGGCCGGACCCGGCGCGGCAGCCCGCCCCACTCCCGCGACCCCGCCGACCAGCCCGGGGCCGGAAGGCGCCCTGCGGTGCAGCCCGACCTCTGCCTGAGGTAACACCACTCCGGCCTCCGCGGCGCCCGCCCCCCGGAAGGAGCCTTGCGGCCCGCAGCCCGGCGAGCGGCGTGGGCGGGGCCTGCGCCGAGCGAGGGCACCCATTGCTCGAATAGGGAGGGGGCGGGACTCCGAGCAAGACGGAGCTCGCGTTTTGGTCAGGAGGCTTGGAGGCGGGACCCAACGCCTTTACGAAGCTTGTCCATTGGCTGGAAGCCAAGCGGGGCGGAGCCACCACGTGGGCACGAAGAGCGGGAAGCTGAGGAGGCCGCGGTTCTCAGGCCAGTATTAACGCTACTCCCCGGCGCTCAGCGCTGTCCCCGTTTGCCAGACGCATTCACATCCGGATTCACTCATCAAACCACACCTAACCCTGTGCTGAGCATTATCGCCCGGTTTTACAGAACAGGAAACTGGCTCCGACCAAGTTACATACTCAGAAAGTGACAGAATTAGGTAGAAGCCTCACAAAAAGACTGCACAAAAATAATACAATATCCGCCTAGCAAAAAAATATCAAAGACAAGGTACAAATTCAGAAAAACATTTGCAACACATGACAAAGGGCTATGTCCTATGTAAAAATTCTCCCAAATTAATAAGGTAATTCAGTATTAAAATTCGCAAAGGAAATGAACCAATGCACAGAAACACATTACGAAAGGCTCTTAAGCATATGAAAAGAAGGCTCCAGTTAAGTCTTATTTTTCTTTATCACTGGCCAAACCTAAGAACTCAGTCATTTAAAAAGCACAAATAGGGCTGGCCGGTTAGCTGGCAAAAGGGAGAGCGCGGTGCTGGTAACATCAAGGTCCTGGGTTCGGATCCCCTTACTGGCCAGCTGCCAAAAAAAAAAAAAAAAAAAAAAAAAAAAAAGATAACTTCCCACCCACTAGATTGGCAGTGATGAAAAAGCATACAGTGATAATATACTTTGTAGCTGAGGCTGTGGAGAAATACACTCCCATAGATCACTGGTGGACGTGTAAGTTGGTGTAGTCATCGTTTGTAGTAGCAAGCGTGAAAACAACCTCACTACCCATCAGTAGGAGCTGGTTATATACGTTGTGGAATATCAGGCAGAAAGAATGAAGTGATCTAAAAGTATTGTTGAGGAACGATGGCCAAGAAAAACATGAAAAAACATGAAAAAGAAAGGATCTAGAAGAGCATAAATGAAATACCCTATGTGTAGCAAAAAATAAATAAATAAATAAATAAATAAAGGAGAGAGGACTGAGGCTCCAATGTGGCTTCCTTTTTTTAAATGCCTGAGGATAAGCACTTTGTGTGTTTCCAACAGCTTTACTGAGATATACATACCATAAAGTTCACCCATTTAAAGTATATAATTCAATGGCTTTTAGTATATTTACAGAATTGTACAACCATGCCATAACCTAATTTTAGAACATTTTCATCACCCCAGCAAAGAACTCTCGTGCCTATTACCAGTAACTCCCCATCCTAAACGCCCACATGCACAATCCTGGGCAACCACTAATCTAGTTTCTGTCTTCATAGATTTTCCTATTCTGGCAAATAAAGATGGAATCATACAGTATGACTAGGAGTGCAATTGTTGGGTCACATGTTAACTCTTTAACATTTTGAGGAATTTCCAGACTGTTTTCCAAAGCAGCTCACCATTTTTACACTCCCACCAGCAGTGTATGAGGGCTCCAATTTCTCCACATCCTGGTCAACACTTGTCTTTTTTATTATAGCTGCCACAGTGAGTATGAAGTGGTACCTCACTGAGTTGTTTTTGTTTTTTGGGTTTTTTTGGCGGTTGGACAGTCCAGGGATCCAAACTCATGACTGTAGTGTTGTTAAGGCTGTGCTCTAACCAACTGAGCTAATCAGCCAGCCCTCACTTAGGTTTTGATTTGCATTTCCCTGATGACTAATGAACACAAGATTTTTTTTTTTTAATTTTTATCATCTCTGGAAGGAAATCCTAACTTACTAACTTAGTAATTGCCACTGGGAAGAAGAAATTGGAAACTAAGATCCCAGTGGGGTGTATAATCAGTTATTTTTCAATAGAAGAAAAAAAGACAATGTTGTACCTAAAATCAATATAAATGTCATAATATTCATTTATTAAAGTTTATTCACTTAGTCCAAAAATAAATAAATAAATAAATCCCGGTAGGAAAAAAGCTTCCTTTTCACCATGTAACCCTTTGTGCTGTTTGGATTTTTTATCATGTGCATCTATTAAAAAAAAATTCAAGGGGCCGGCCCGGTGGCGCGCTGGATAAGTGCACCGCTTGGGAAGCGTGGCGGCGCTCCCGCCCGAGGGTTCGGATCCCACATACAGACCGGTTCCCGCTCACTGGCTGAGCAAGGCGCGGGAGCAACGCCGAGGGTTGCGATCCCGTTGCCGGTCCCCGGTCCGGTACGGGGGCAACACTGAGGGTTGCGATCCGTTGCCGGACACGGAAAAAGACAAAAAAAAAAAAAATATTCAAGCTTTCCCTCTTGGGATGCATGGGAAGACATGGTGCCCACGAATCCCTGCAATTCATATACAGAATTGTGTATTATGTATTTACACTTCACTGAGCGGAGAAGGTCCATAGCTTTCATCAGATTCTCAAAGGGGTTCACTGACTATAGAAAGCCCTAGTCTGGAACTGCATGTCTGAATAACCAGTCCCCTAACTGGTGTTTGCCCCCCATTGCTCAAACAGCCCTGGAAACACTTTTCTCATAATTATAAGGTGCTCACCACATGCCAGGTCCTGTTTGGGACACATGACACATTCTCTTTGGATCTTCACAGCACCAAGGGTGTCTGCACAGATCACTGTCCACCTGGACTGGGGCCCAACTGGTCTATGTTACTCATCAAGCCAAAGCTGTCCTTGCTGGGGGGCTGTTCAATGCTTTCACCAGGCAGGACCCACTCCTTACCCTGACAACAACCCTAGGAGAGGGGTACTTTATATTTTCCCCATCACACAGGTGTGAAAACAAAGGCTCAGAGGAACTCCCTAATTGTGTCTAAGATTACACAGCTATTAACAGCCAACATTCAGAGCCGGGGCCCTAATTTTTAGCCACCCCACAATTTCCCTCTCATAGATGCAGAGTACCATCTCTAACCAAATTCATCTAGACACAAAACTAATTACAAGGTATCTGTAGACTTTACAAACATGTTTTTATTTTACAAAAGATAAAGAAAAAAATCACAATAGTAAAACTTTTTAAAATAGGGCCTTTCTCCTAATGAATTTAAAATAGCGTTAGTTTCACAGAAAGATTTGCAACATGACTTATCAGAAATATACCCACTGCATGAACGTTAGGTACATGACAGAAATACACGTTTAATACATTTTTATTTATTTTATAAAACAGGACAAGGCATTTTCCAAGTGCTTCTGTAGCCAGTCTCAACTGTTCCTCCCAACAGCCCAGGGAGGGAGAAAAAGCAGGTGTTATCTTACTTACAAGGAAACTGAGGTCCCAGAAATTAAATGAGTGACTTATTTAGCAGCAGAATCAGACATGAAATGAGTTCTCCTGATTCTTCATCCAGCCATAAATAACACATTCTCAAAATGAAAGCTCCATTCAAAATATTAGCACTAGTGGGATGGGAGGATAAAGGTGCTGAGCAGGAACTTAAATAAATAAATATCTGCAGGTTGCAAGATTTCCCATAGAGGAAGTGGAAAGTCTTCAGAGCCCTTTGCCACATGTCTGGCATTTGTAAAACCTGAGACCTTGAGAGGTGAGTCAAGAACCGCATCGGGACACAGTTGAAAATCTTTCAGAGTATGGGAGTTTACAGGCACCTGTTGACAAATATGACGCAGATGTCTTAACTTTGGAAAATGCCATTGGTGTTGCATAATGCTCCATCAGTTGTCGAGGGGCAAGAGCTGCTGAGGCAACATCATCTGCTGGGGTAGTTATCATCACGTGCTCCCTGGAACCACAAAATCACCCACATCCTGGGCCCATGTAGCATGGTTTTCACTTCAGTCTGATACCCTGCTCTGACTAATAAATCCCGGAAATGAAGAGGACTTCATGGATTTTTTTTTTGTCTCTAAAAGCTGAGGTCTCCTCTCCCCCAACTCATTCTGGTGAAATGGGAAGTTTTTCTCCCTTTCAGGAAAGCTGTTTGGTTTGTGTATTGCATAGCAGATCTTGGATTCTGCCTCAGACCTTTTTCTTCAGATGACAATCGTCTTTCCAATTAAGAACAAGGATCCTCAGCTGTGCTCCATTCCTCACGGGCCAAAAAGCTCAATGCTGTCCAGTTTCTCCTCTTTGTAGAGCAGAATATTCTCCATCAGTTTCCTTTTGGCCTCGTTGATCTCAATTTTCCATGAAGTCTCTGTAGCTGATGTTCAATGGAAAGTAAAAGAGAGCAACTTGAACAGAAGTTACTATTATTATTCTTCATAGAAAGTCAGACTTGGTCAGTCTCACTTAAATCAGCTTTCTGAGTCCGGCCCTAAATGTAATGAGCATTTTTTTTTTTTTTTTTAAGAGACCAGTAAGGGGATCTTAACCCTTGACTTGGTGTTGTCAGCACCACACTCTCCCATGAGAGCTAACTGGCTGGGATCTGAACCCATGGCCTTGGTGTTATCAGCACCACACTCTCCCGGCTGGCCCTGTAATGAGCATTGGGGGGGGGGGGGGGGGGGGGGGGGGGGGGGGGGGGGGGGGGGGGGGGGGGGGGGGGGGGGGGTTCCATGCTTCTCCCCTTAGTGTGGGAGACATTCCTTCTTCCTCCCTTCTCCCCATGGGACGGGGAGCAATAACAGTACTTAGGGCCTGAGACTTTCGTGCAACCACTTTAGTAGGGGAGGGGGGCATTGTATTG